CATGTAGGTCGCTTTGGATGGTGAGTTTCATGTGTGATGCAGTCTGAAGTATGAATGATTCCTTTTGAGTTTTTAGTCTAGATTTTAGAATAATAGGTAATTATTTTTTTCATAGAAAATCAATGTTGCTACTTCGACATTTTAGGTTTATGTTCAAGAATTCTGACTTGATCCTGTTAGATAGTCTTTGGGAGATTTGTTTTAGTTTTTATGAATAGTTTTTGAAGTTTTTTTAAAATACTATTTTTTTTTTTTTGACTATTCGTTTGATGAAATGCAGATGAAACTTATGAATGATGTTTAGCAATTAATTTTATTATGTTTGATATATTTTTTTTAAATATTGCTTTGCGTTAATTTTCTATATGAAGGTGTACTAAGAATTAGTTAGGACACGTGTATATATTATAATTTTTAGTGCCCTAAAATGTTTGTTAGGACATTTGTAAGTGTCTTAAAAAGCCAATTCAATTTTGTAACAAATGTCCCCAGAAAAGTTTTATGAGGCAATTAGTGATGCCCGTATAAATATATATAAAGACACTTATAAATATCCTATTATACATTTTTACGGACATATATAAATATCCTCATACTAAAGTAAGTGTCCCATAAAAAAATTGTACATAAATATTAACATTCTTATAAGGCTTATATGTGTGCCTCAAAACTACTTTATCGAGACACATATAAAAGTCTTAAAAGGAAAATTCTATTGGGACATATAAATAATGCCTCACGAGCTAACGCAACACACAACTATGCGACATATGTTTTAAATGCCCCTAGAAGTAAAAGTGCCTCAAAATGGTATATATTGAGACATATGTATACATCTCGAAAAGGCATTTTTGTTGTAGTGGCAGAAGATGATGTGGATGACTGCCTCTTTAATGGAAGAATACTCAAGTCAATTGCGTGTTTTCGCCAATGAAATCATGTCCGGTATCCCAGTGCGGAGCCTAAAGTATCGTTACGGCAAGCTCGTGAGTATTTACAGCCTCCAAATGTGTTCATACGCATTGATAGGATTTACTTGCGGGAACTTAGATACGGATTTCACCCCCGAAGCAAAGACCGAGGTTGAACAAATTAATCTCGAAGAAATTAGGGTTAGACTTGAAAAATGGAGGGTTAAGTTCGAACAAGCAAGGGCTTGTATCGAACAACAACATCATCAACACGAGGATGAGGGGACGACTACTACTACTACTACTAGTATTGGTACTTAAAAAAAAGCATTTTTATTTTTTTATTTTATTTAAATGCATGGTTAATTCTTTAAAATTATATATGTTACTTATTTATTATTTTGCGTCTGGCGTTGACCGTTTGTTTGTTTGTTGTCTCTATGTTAGCGTTGCCGCCGCCGCCGCCGCAGATCCCATATGATGAAATCCTGGACGATGGTTTGCTCATGATCCGCAAATTGCAGTCCATTAAAATGGATTCTGGTTTTTTCTAGTCATCCTATATATATAAAAATTATTCAAGTAATTAATACTTTGTTTTATTCCTTTTTCCTTTGATTTTTCCACAAGAATATAATGGATGTTGGTTTAATTTTGCTTTATATTATATTATTCGTACACGTGATTTATTTTAATGGTTTATTTTATTAGTTTATTATGATTTACATATCTTCATGCACGTGATTAATTGATTACTTATATATGTGTCATAAAATATAGGGTAAATTACAACCAACCTCTGAGGTATGGTTAAATTACGAAAACCCCCTCATGTTTGGGTAATTAATTACAACCACCCTTTAACTATAAATCTTCTTCCACACCCACCCTTGCGGTTTCAAATTTAGTGGAATCTTCTAAATTATAGATAAATTATCACTTTTGTACCCGTTTTATCCCATTCGAGTTCCACATTTTGAACCAAGATAATCATAAGATGTGTTTTTTGTATTGGGTTGTATATATCAGATTTTGTGACGCAGAACGGAAGCACGGTAAAAATTTAATTTCTACGAATTGATCTTATAGAACAAAATAACATTCGGAATCCACCAGAAAATAGAGAAAACTCTAAAGATTTTATTAAAATTCGATTTTTTTTCAAAATAAAGTCGTAAGGCAGCTATTTATAATAATAAAACTGAAATCCCTTAATTAAACTAAGGAAATACTAAAAATTATCAAAAACGGCAAAAACGAGTTAGAAGTTGAATCTAATAGATCTCGTAATTTTGGGGACAACCCAATTTACGGGGATCCTAATCCGAGTTTTCTATGAGTATGATATTAATATTCTAAAACACGCCCATAATAGCGCAAAAGAACATTTTGGAGTCTCAACGACGTTGGATTGCTGAAGTTTTGTTCCTTGCGCCGTTTCACTTGAGATAGAGTTCGTTTCCTACTCAAATACAATTTGAGTTCGTAGAAAACCCTTATTTTTCCATAATTTCTTTCGATATTTCCACCAATGCCCGCCGGCGGGCAACTTTATCAAGCACTCCTTTTTGCTCCCAACCACCACTTCCTCCACCTCACCACCACCTCCAGCACCTTATATATTTTACTTATATATTACTATATTTTTCCTATTATTTAATTAATTAGTTGATAAATAGCCAATTGAAAAAAAAACAATTATGAAATTTCCACGGCCAATCAAACAAGCTTAAGTTGTTGAATTTTCAAATAAAAATAAGGGTAAATTACACACACCCCCCTGAGGTAAGCTTAAATAACTGTAAGGTCCCTGTGATATCGATAAGTACACTTAGCCCCCTGAAACGTAGTCTGAAACTCTAATGGGATAGTGAATTGGATAC